TATTGAACCAAAATCTGGACAATTAATTTTTAAAAGAAGATGAATTGCAGCTGCATAGAAAATTGGATAAAGAAAACACATGAGTAGTTAAAAATCAAAAACACAGGATCCTGAAAAAACACATCTTACAATCAATAACCTAAAGAGACAACAACACATATGAAAACTGACTGTAAATACCAAAACAATACCTCAATATTTTAACACCTTAATAATAATTCTTATCACAAAAATCAGACAACTCACATTATATGATCAGCCTATCAATAAGAAATGTTTAAAATAGTTTAAGACAATCCTTTCAAAGCATTCATATAACATTAGTAACAATCACTACTTAGCATTACCTACAAAAACTTAACAACAATCATTTATCTTAGTATCTATAAAACTTAAAAATCATCATTACTTATATTATTATCTATAAAAACTCAAAAACAGAAATTGTGAACTCAATACCAACATTCCATCTGACTGACATTTCTCAACTCTTTGTTTTCAGAGACATTTTTGGCAATTAAATCATTATTAACATTTCTATCTTTATAGTGATTTCCATCTATATTGTATTTGAAATAACATTGATTCATGTAATGTTCATCCCTCTTGGTATCTCGGAAAACACTCGGTACTTCTATACTTTTTCATTACATCTTCTGACTCTTGTAAGGAATTGGAAAAATGCTGTTGAAAATTTTGCTGTGGTGTTGCAAGCCCTCCATCAGTGACACTGCGGCTCTCGGCGTTGTCGGTGCCGTGGCAACCAGGCTGTGCAGCCGTCTCTGCTTCCATTGCTGGGTGCTGCGGGGGGATGAGGGGACAGCGCCGTCTCACTCCCTTCTCCACCCTGGTCTCCGCCTTGATCTCCGCCCCTCAGTTCCTCCTCCTGACTCCGCCCTGTTTCGTCACCAACTCCGCCTGCCTCCTCAGGTGTCTCCCTGCGTCCCGAGGGACCCGACAGGGACACTTCCGGGTTCGCCTCACTCCGCGGGACCGCCGAGCTGTTAACATCCACTGTCTGTGGGCACACTTCCGTCCCTGCCGCGGCCATGCTTTTGCTCGGTCCCGTGTCGGCCAGCCCCGCGCTTGCTTCCAAACGAGCAACAAAATCCCTGACAGAGGGACTGACTGGAGCTTTCTGCCCTCGTCCTGGCCGCATATTACAAACATTAAAGAATTTTTCAACCCGAGATGGCTCCTGAACTTCTGTCTGTTCTGATGTGGATTGCTTAAACGCGTGAATCGCGGCTTCTGCTGCTTTTTTCTCCACGGCCATGCTTTGCAGGGTATGTAAAACCTTTTTCCAAATGCCTCCCAGCTCCAGCACTATTTTCTTGTCTTTTCCGCCCTCTATCACTGCGTCCCAAAGCAGCTGCCCCAGCTCTGGCCATTCGACTTCACTAAAAATCGGCGAAGGCTTTTGCAGCTTGCCTTTGTTTCTGGCCCACAGAACCAACTGCTCTAAATTGGCTTCTTTAACTTTTTCAGCTCTCTTTGAGAGAATATGAAAGCGAAGCCGCACGGAAGCCTGCAGATCCCCATCCATAGTGAATTTTCACCGTCTCTCTCCGCGGCTTACCTCCAACCTCCGCGGGTTGCTTCGCTTGCTTTTTTTTCTTTTCGGCAAGGCAGCACTCCCGCTCCAGCTTCTCGGCCCTGGCCACGTCCACACCTGCCGTTTGGGTTCCTTATGAACGCCGAGGTCTTCTCACTGCTCCAATGGACTCTCGCAAACAAACAACAATGTGAAAAGTCTTTTTCCTCCCGCTGGGAAACGGCCCAATTCGGAGTTTGGAGACTTCTGCTCCGTTCCACCTGATCCCCGTTCACAAAAAGTGAATTTGGGATCCCGGCCCCATCGCCATGAGGCGATTTGGGCCTGAATTTTCATTGCGCGACTCAAACTCAGCTCCCTATTACTCTAAAAGTAATTTGGGAGCATTTTCGGAGCCTCCCGAGTCCCTAGTCCGGGTGCCACTAAAAGCCAGGGAATCCCAGGAAAACGGGAAACTGGACAAGACAAACGCAGGTCTGAACCAATGTGGTTAATCAAGCGTTCTCCGTTTATTCAAGATAAGATGGTAGTTTATATAGGCTTCTACATAGTTTACAAAAACAAAGGCACCCTGATTGGTAGGCTAACAATGTTTACATTTTCCTTAAAGTAGCTTGAGACTTACACTATAAAACCTATACTAATTCACACCCAGACAGCCCAATGGTCCCCATCACACCTTAATACTATTTCTATCTGTGCCACAAGCTCTGAATTTCTAACTGTGTCAGAGGCTTGAAGTCCTCACAAGCCCCAAATCTGAGGCCTAGACTGGAGTAGCTAAAATCTCATAACTTATGTCCTCTTTCTCTCAAAACTGCTGAACCAGTCCAGTTCCATTTTGTATGCCTGCAGGTCTTGTGAGCTGTTTGACAGGTCCACTATAATGACTTCCCAATCAGTGGATCTGAAATGAAACCCTTTGGCAGTCACTAGCTGAGGTCAGCCTAGCAGCTGCCAAACCTTGTTAGTTGAATATTTAGCATTTTTATTTTTCCACCCTCCCCCACCATGAGTCCCATCCTCCCCCTTATTTGTTAAGAGAGAGGCGTTTTCCTGTGTGGGTCCAGCTATATTTATATCTTTGCGTGCAGTTGCATTAGCAGCGGGCACGCACTGTACACTCAGTTTGTTTGTTTGTTGAACTTTCTCTGGTTCTGGTTTTGAGGACAGTTTCTGGCGAAGTGTCCTGGTTTCTTGCAACGGAGGCAGATGATGTGCTGCAGCTGGTCTGGTACGGCCGTGGCAGCAGGATGTACTTGTGCAGATGTTATATTTCTGTCAGGGGTATTGAACAGCTCTGCTTTTCTGATACAAGCGTCGATCATCTGAGCAAGACTAGGTGATGGGTCAAGAGGAAGGCTGAGGATAATTCTGCGACAGGCCTCATTCACATTCCTCTGATCCATCTCTTTAATCAGCTCTCTCTGTACCATAGGGTCTTGCACCTGTCTTTCGACTTGTGTTCTCAAGTGATCCACAAACTGTAAAAAACTCTCAGAAGGAAACTGTTTAATGTTAACATTGCTGCCCTTAGCCTCAGTTATTGGTAATTGATAAAACGTTTTTTCTGTAGCATTAGAGTGTAGAGAGCGCTGTTCTCCAGGACGGTTTTGATGAATGGAGACGAGAGATCTCTGAAGGCTGCTCTTAGAATATAAGATTTATTAGGGATGGTGAAAGGTCTTGCTTGGAGCTGCCAGACGCAGTACATGGCAAGGCCTGAGGTGATGGGGGAGGGGAGATGTAGGGAATCCAGGGCTTCCCTCTGTCTGCCCTGGAAGGTCTGGGACCCTGGCAGGGGTCAGGAACCCCCCTGTACAGAGCCCCGAGAGACACTGTCTCTGATCTCTGTCCATGGAAAAGTGTTTTTAATCTTACAGGATGAATTACAAGCTCTGAGTGTTTGATATGAGTAATAATTAAGCGTGGCACGGGTGCAAAAGTAAAATTTTAGGTTTCTAGATTAGGGGTTCAGAGGGGACAAGATGGAGGAATTGGGTGTGTCTTGTAATTTTCCTCCTTCTTCATGCCCTCCATGTTTCACTGTAGTGTTGGCATTTTTCTATTGGTTTAGGCTGGGGACACGCTGTTTAACGTAGATGATAGATATTGGCACATTATTGTAAATATAGTACACGTAGTTTCTGGTATATAATGTTTGTAACATCCCACTAGGGGCAGAGCCCTGCACGCTGCCCTGCAGGACAGACCTGCGGCAGGGCAGCAGAACATGTTATAGATAAGCAAGAATAAACAACCTTGAAAACAGCACAGATGAATTATGGCTTCTTCTTGGCAACGGGGCAGAAAGACAGAGACTTTCTACAATCTCGGAATCATCAATACCCACAGATTCCGACAGGGTGAGACAAGGGGTAGAGAGGATGCTCTAGGAGAGGGTGGAAGATCCAAGAGAGTGGGGATTCCAAGAGACCGTCTGGCCCCTCGGAGACCCGTTATCAGGGGGATTCAAGGTGGGCTGGAACAAGACTTGGGTCAATGGGGTTACAGACACTTGATGCTTCAGGGGAGGGTTACAGGTGTGGGATGGACCATACATTTTGGGGGTTGAGATGGAACAGTCCATTTGACTTTTGGACCTATCTGTAGGTAAGGGTATTGTCTAGCCAGTAGGGGGGATTGTTTTCATCCTGGCTGTACTATTGTAAATCTTTTGCCAGGCAATTATATTTATCCATCCTTCCCAACATTACAGATCGTATCTAAAACTGACCTAGATAGCACTCTGTTTTGTTTTTCTGTACAGTGCCAGTCACCTCTACCGCGTAGGTGATCTATTGTAATAGGGTTACCATCATTGTCATTGGACTCACTGGGCCTTTGTTGTATCTCCTTTAAAACTGCTGTTAGAGCCAACTTCCATCTGTTTTCCCACATCTCATATTCAGAAGGGATTAGTAAAAATTTAAATAAATCTTTAATATCCCTCGGTACCATCTCATTTGAATTAAAGCTTGCCCTCATAATCCCTTTGAAAATCTTGCTTGATCTCCCAAATTGTCTCTGTATTATACAAATCTCCGTTTTGTCTCTATATGGTAGTGGTTGATAGGGTCTACTACCATTTCTCCTACCAAGGTATACAACAGGTGCCACAGATGGTATGAATTCATCATCATTTCCCTGAGAAGCAAGAATTTCTGCTGCTTTTCCAGTGCTCATAGAGGCAGAGGGGTTTCCCACCCCCACCCCTTGAGTCCCGGGAAAAAGCAGTTCTCCTTCCCTCTCCCGGGCTGTCGGTGCCGTGGGGGAAACCCCTGCGCCGCCGGTGCTGTGGGCTGGGCTTCCCTGCCTCCCTCCACCGTCCGGGCTGGGAGCTGTGGAGGGGCCGGCCCTTCCCCCATTCTTGTGGCAACTCGGAGGGAGGCAGTGATAAGGAGGGTGGGGCGGTGCTGCCGGAGGCTAGAAAGGATTGGGGGAGGATTGTGAGAAGACGAGAGCATATGGCCGCCGCCGTTGTGCGGCTGCATGTGGTCTGCTGGTGGTCCCAGAAATCCTGCCACATCACCAGGGCTCTGGGAAGAGAACCTTTAACTTTTGGAGAAGTCCGGAATATACTTCTCAGAAGAACCAGGTGTTATAGGGGGATACAGGGTGGGTAAAGCGATATCACGACAAAGGTATCGAGGGGGTGGATAGGAATGGGAAAAAGGATTAATCGGACTGTTTGTCTGTGTCTGTATGCTTTTTTCTGCTTCTAAAGTCTGTATTCGAGCTTGTAAAAATATCGGAATAAATAGAGAAGCTTTATGTTATAAATTTGCGCCACAACGGGTCATAATCCAATTTAAATTTTATTAATTACAGCAAGTAGAATATGAGCAAAGACAGTGCTGGACGACAGGGGAGTCTGCGCTCCACCAACTGCCGCGCTGATCAGTTCAAACAGCCCCCTTTTTATTCCATTTTTCATGAAGTAGTGGGTCTCCTTTTGTCTTCCTGGAATATCTTGCAAGCCAGTTCCTGGAACGTCTTGCAGTTATCTTATGTTTGCATAAGCAGTCTCTGGTGTAAGTGATTGCGGTTATCTTATCTTGCATAAGCTGTGTCCGTTGGCTGTTTGCATATCTTCTGTTGCCTAACCTTTACATTGGGCTTAACATATATCTTAATAAACAATACCTCAGTCTATAGTTTCTCACATTTATGTTCACCATTTTCGAGTTTTAAAGTTAATATCTGTCCAAATTGGTCCCAAAATGAGATTTAATTCATTTCTTGCACAGTGAAATTTGGTATTTCCTTTGTTAGCCAGCATACAAAATGCAGTAGAAACATATTTGGGAATGTAACATTGGTTAAAATATTGTTAAGGTGTTTTAATGTGCTTTTTTGTTCTACCGATAATTCTACACCCATCTTTTTAATCATATCGGTGCACTATCTACCACCAGACTCTCAGCACAGCACGAATTTTCGAATTCCCTGCTCTCAGAAGCACGGGAATCGATGGGGGGGGGGGGAGGGGGGGGCACACTGCCAGGGCGGCTCCTGCTCTTTTTCTCGGCTCCCCTGGGGTACGGGGGTTTCCCCGCCACTGTCCCAGGGTGCGATATCTTTCCTGTGGTTTCCCCACCCCGTGAACGCGGGCTCTTTCGGTCGGAGCGGCTTTCGGAGCGGCTTATCCACTCCGCACCGATTCGACAAGCCTGCCGGTGTTACAAGCGGCGTGCACTGGGTCCTAGCTTACCCGTGCCAGCTGCGTCCCACGGTAACTATGGTAACCCCCCCCCCTTCCAGCTGGGCACGTACCCGGGAAACGCGAAACTAAGGGAGTTCTTACCAATCCTTTCGAACCGTGGGGTTGTGCGTGGAAGCGTCTGGGGTTCCAGCTCCAGCCAGCTCGCCTGGGGTGCTCAGGCGAGGTCCCGACCTATCCCTGTCACTCAAAGCCACTCAAAAGCAGCTAAAGCAACAGGGTAGTTGGACTTCCCAAAGAGCTTTTGAGATCCCTTAAATAAGGGCTCCAGCTCCTGCGTGGGCTTTTAGCAAACCCACGTTGGGGGCCAACTGACATGCCTATTCCCCTCAGCCCCCCAAATCACCAGGCCAGCCCAGATATATGGGGCCTTGAGGGAAGGCACATCAGGAGTTGAGCATAGATTCAAAAGAGGCTCCAATTCCCCGATGTAGTTGTCCAGCTCCTTTATTCCATGAGATGAGTGGGAAAAGAGAGCGAACAGGAAGGGACATGGTCTTATCTAGGCTCTGGACAGGGAGGGCTTTCTGGCTTTCTGCCAACCCCATCAGAGCAGGAAGGAGGGGACCACACTTATCTGATCCCAGTCACAGGGGTCCCTGGAAATGGGGAAAAGCATAGCCTGAGCGCAATGTAACATACATGTTCCAGGAATTCTTTAGTTTGGTTTGACCCCTGACCCACCTTTTTAGAGTACGTTCAGTAATGTGTATTGTCTTTTTGAGAATCTCATGTCACTTCCTCACAACAGCCACCCTGTTCCATGGATTCAGCAGGTGACATCAGTAGTTGAAGGGTTAATGGCAAGAGTCCTTATCACATCCATTTTTAAAATGTTTTCTGACCATGCAGAGGGTTTTAGTTATTTCCACAAGTACTTTAAAACAACATTAGCTATTTCACAAATATATCTGAGTTATTATTGCCAGTTAGTTACAAAAATAAAAGCATTAGCTTTTCTTTCTTTCACAACTACAGCTACTTCTGTAAAAGTTAACATTTTGCAAAAGCCAAAACTATAATATATGTTTTTCACACTGTCCACAAATGAAAATATCATCCATAAATGATATTCTGAGGATATGAGCCACACAGGGGCCAGGGCATTGGCAACAAAAAGCTTACAAATTATACTATATCAAAAGCAGTTAAAAGTGATTTCAAACTGTACTATATCAAAATCGTTGTGATTAATAATAATTTGCAAAAGCCAATATGTGGTAATCACATATCCTCTGAACAGAGAGAGAGATAGCTCTCCCAGGATATTCCTGGGAAGCCGTGAGAAGCTGTGAGAAAGATCAGAGAAAAGAATGAGAAACAATTCTTATCTTCACTTGCTGCACCTATTGTTGTGCACATGTGGAATGTGTTATGGAGATTTGTTTACCAAAGGATGGTTTCTTAATTGGCCAGTGGTGATAGTGTTTGGATTCAATTGACCAATCTGGTCAAAGCTGTATCAGACTGTCTGCAAGGGTGATGAGTTTAATAATGAGTGTAGTATAGTACAATAAAGCGATTGATCGGCCTTCTGGAATCATGGAGTCAATGCTAATTATTACCCAGCGGGGACCTCTGCTACAATACCAATACATAAGAGCGAAAGCCAACAACTACATAGTTATTTACAACATGCCACCAGCTTCAAGGGGTGATTCTTTATTCCTCCATTCATCCCTTCTACTTCACCTGAATTCTCAGGGTGCCAGGGTATATGGAGGTCCCACTGAATTTCTCAAAGCAGCCATAATCTCTTGAAGGATCCCCCTGTAAAATGAGTTCCCCTCTCCAAGTCCACTGCCTTCACAATCCCATATTCAGAAATCATTTGTTAACTGATCAAATAGTTGCTGAAGTGGCTAGAAATGCCTCTGGCCACCCTGACAGCTGGCATACCACTACCAGAGGATATCTAAGCCTTCTTGCCCAGGGCATGTCAGCAAAATACACCCATCACCTCTGGAAAGGACATATAGCCCAATGTCACTCCCCTGCCTTGCAATTTCCTTTGTAGTCTGGCTAGTAACTTTAGCCAGGCACCCCTCAATAGCTGTTTTTGCTAAAACGAAAAGACCCAAGGCAGTACATCTTGAAGAACATCTCTACCAATCAAGAGTCCCAACAACTCCCCCTGTAAAGCCATCCCAATATTTGCAGGGTCAAAGTGCCTGGCATCCAGAGTTCACTGTCCTTTGTAAATAATTTCTCCCCTCTTTCCTCTGCCCCACCATCTTTAATATCTCAAATTCCTCTGGTGGAAAAGACACCACCAACACTGCCACTCCCCCCCTCCCCCCAGCAACGGCAGAGCCACAGGGAGCAAAGGGAGGATCCCAGAAACCTCTGGCAGAAATGCTGCTTTCTGAACATCTCCATTGACCAGCTGATTATCTCTTGTTTCTTCTGAGTGTCCTGCCTGATGTTCCTTATCTGCTCTTATTTCTACCTCTTGGTAAATTCACCACTTCCAACAAGTGAGTAATTGAACTCTCATGAGTGAATGTTTTCCCCTGCAAGTTAACAAACCTCTCTCCTCCCAGATCTCCAAATGCATGTACCACTCCATATGCATCCTTGGAATCTGTAAGTATTCCCTAACTTTCCTTGATACACTGCAGGCTTTTATTAAGGCACACCATTCTGTGTTTTGTGCTGACCATGTGCATGGTAGCTTCCCCTCTTCTTGCAATACCCTTCCTTTTACTATAGTATATCAGATAACTCATTTTTTTCCTACTGTCCTTGAAGATCCATTAATAAACACCTTTTCCCCATTTTTTCAGAGGCGTCCTGTAAATCTTCCCTAGCTGGTGTCTTCAGATCTGTTACTTGGATAGAGTCAAAATGTCACACAGAATTGAGACTCCACAACCAGCAGGTTTGTGATGTAGGTATGTTTATTCACTGCTGGGCACGTGAGGGATCACTCCACCACAAATATAGACACCAAACAGAGCAGACGCTCTGTTTATATACACTTAAGGTCATACGTATTTACGAAAGTTTCAACATCATCTATACATATTCATGATCTGATGTAGGAATATGCCCCCTGTTGATGGAGTTAAAAAGTTACCCTCTGTCTCCTTAAAAAGGAAAAAAGCCCAGAAGTTTCTCTCCTCAATTTGGTTAAAAGATACCTCATAGGACCTTGGAGACGTCACCTCAAACTTAAGGATAGCTAATTGGAGAGAAGCCAAAAATTCAAAAGAAGAGAACAAAAGAAGTAAATCACTTTTGTGATGTGTTTTAGCAGGAGCAAGAACCTCTTTCCCTGGCTCGGTTTTTCTCTGTAAAGAGCTTTGTTATTTTGCCTTTTATTAAAACTTTTTGTTTCCAGTACTGTCACAGGAGTCATCCTGCTACTTTTATGCCACCTGAGGTAGCTGAGCAATCTAGGGTATAATATTGTCTCTGAGAGCTTATAAGACCTGGCTCAAAGAGACCAAGTATTAACCTATCCCCGCCTACTCTCGCTTCATATGTTAATCAGCATTTCATCGTTCTGCATTCTGCGCTTGCCCACTATCCTCTGGTGATCTCGGGTAGGGGTTGCTGGATGAAGTAAGTAGTCATCCTCACAATGTCCTCTGGACTAACCTGGTCCTTGTGCAGGCTCTCTTGGTGTCTGGTCGTCCTTCAAGACTTTTAGCCACAGTCCTAACTAAAGATCCAGTTTTTACTGGTTTTTAGTGCACTAGTTCCTGCTTTATCAGTCTTAAACTATAGGCAAAATCCTGTTGCTGCATAGCAAAGGATTATCTGTTCTTAACACACTTGATTACACAGCAAACTATAGACGCATAAGCTTAGTTATAAGTTCCCTCTATCAACAAGCCTCCTTTAAGGCTCCTTTCTCAGGACCAGTTAAACAGGAGGCTAGCTTCTCAATTCTATTTCCACACTCATGAATGAGTCACACAGGAGAAAGCCTTTGCAACCAGTCCACATACAATTCCAATTCCTTTTCTGGGCCTAGGAGAGCTAAAGCTGGGGCATTAATCAATCTTTCCCCTAATTTTCTGGTTTCCTACGGGTGTCTATAGAACAACATTAGGACTACCCTGGCTTAAAAAGCCACAAAATAAAGTCCTTAATCCAGGTCTTGTAATACCCTATCAATCCTAAAATTTGTTGCAGCTCCCCTTTGGTCCTGGGCAACTGTCGGAATCTGTGGTATTTAAATGATCCCGAGATTGTAGAAAGTCTCTGTCTTTCAGCCCCATTGCCAAAGAAGAACTCGTAACTCATCTGTACTGGTTTTCAAAGTTGTTTATTCTTGCTTATCTATAACATGTTCAGTCTGTCCTGCAGCAGGTCTGTGTTTCAGGACAGTGTGTGGGGCTCTGCCCCTCAGTGGGATGTTACAAACATTATATACCAGAAACTACGTGTGCTCTATTTACAATAATGTGTCAATATCTATCAC